GCGCCGTCCCCCCTGGCTTTCAGAGTCCGAGGAAGGCCCAACAATGTGAGTTGTGGGAGGAATCTAGCTTCAAACAGGCGATAGACGCGACTGCCCTTCCGCATCGGTGCTCATATACCGACACAAGAACTAGCTCAAACGGGCGCCGCAAGTCTCTGTAGGCGGCAATGTTGGACAGTTACCGACATCTCGGTGCGCGATTCTTGGTACGGTAATGCAGAGAACTGGTCCCGACCCGAGTCCGGGTTTGACCCGGGTTTGGCCAAGAGTCACGGCGGTAAGTGGGATAGTCAGTAAACGCGAGGGGCACAGCACAGATGCAGAGCGTCTGTGAGTACATCCGTACGTATGCTATCTGTCCCCAGCCTTGTCGTACCCGCGGGCTTTCGCTGAGCCAAGAGGCCGCGTATGTTACGAGAACTTGCCGCTGAGTGGTGTGCCGGATGAGATCCTGGCCTCCGGAGGGGATGTGAGGCTGTGATTGGACCTGGCGATGACAAAGGAGAGCGGAACCCGCACAGTCAGGGATCTCCAAGTCCGAGGAGGCTGCAGTACCCAGGCTGTATCGCCAGCGTGGAAGGTACATGGCACAGTGGCACAAACGAGTGTCTGCGATGAGGCGGCTGGGAGCGGTTGGCATGAAAATGAAGCTCGAGATTGGCCATCATTTGGGATGAGGAGGGCGGGCGTGGGTAGCGGGCTCGATTTGGCCGGGGTTGATGGAGGTCCCATCTTTGGTACGGATACCATCTTGTACAACGCGATATGCCGCAGATATGTCGTAACTGACAATTGTCAATTGGTCTGTCTGCCGGCAACATAGTGGTGGGAAGCGCGCAATCCGTGCGGGCTGCGTTCGTTTGTTGATGGCCGTTATGACAGCCGACTCCTCACAAGTCAGTTCGGGCGCATCAGCACTCGACGTCGAAAAAGAATTGATCTTGCACTTGTTGGGGGTCCTTTTCCCTTCCCTCCTGGCGCCGTGCGGAGCCGGGCCCGTACGCCGATGGCGTCCCACTCTTGCGGCAGGGGCCCCTGTCTGACGGCCCCGGCCGTCCTCTCAGAGCCTGGCAATGACGCTGCGGCCAATCTACTCTCAGCCGTATTGGTGACTCCGAGGCCCCTTCTCTCTTCTCCTCCTCTTTGAATGAAACCCTCTTGGCCTTCGGCTTGCGCGTGCCTCTATCCGCTGTTGCACTGCTCTCAGCGTTGGCTGTCAACCCTCGTTCGGTCCGCCTTTTGCAATCGCTCAGTTCAGCGCATCTTGTGTTTTGGGCTTTTAGACTTCGATTGTACAGCTGGCCGTTGACGTATTTTCCGAAGCCGTTGGAGCGAGACAACTAGCCTAGCCTAGGGCCAACGGTGCAAGATCCCTCGACTCGATCTCGCTTGCAGGGGGAGCTCTCCTCTTAGTCAGGCATCTGCCAACGGCCACCCTTGTTGGTGCCTTGGAGGCTCGGAGTACTTGCGGAACCTGCTCAAAGCAACAAATGAGGCAGTGGTCTCGACGAGGCAGTGGCCCAAAAAAAGACTCGACGCCCATAGGTTCCAGAAAAGACAGATTACTGATCATAGAAAGCTCATGGGCTGATCGAGGGCACCAAAGGAGCACACTTCAAACGGCAACCCCAGCCAAAGGCGTTTTTCTGTCGTTCTCATTCGCGGAAGCTCCACTTAAAAGCGCTTTCCTAATCGGGAAGGATATATGCGGCAGAGATTGCGGTGTTGGCATTGACACTTTGACAGCGGCCGTAGAGCAGTCATGTCAAGGCAGAGTGTGCCACCCAACTCGCTTTTGCCCGGAGTAGCTCTAACGGCCGCTGCTACTCTGTGCTGTGCGTCTTGGATTGTTCATCGCACAATGCGTAGCAGCCCACCAGGGGTTTAGCCTCCTTTCTGACGGCGCCTGCGCTGTTGGAGGCTGGCATGCCGTTGCCGTGAGAATACAGGCCCAACGAGCGTTCGTTTCTTGGTCCGAATGCAGAGCGCCATATTCAGACATCAGGTCGGAGACATCCACAATATTCAGTAGACATGGCGGTCGGCAATTTGGCCTATGGCTGTGCCCTCGTCACATCAGATATGCCTTCGTTGCTTCTCGATGGCGATATTTTGTGATAGAATTTGGATCGCTGGTTATCGAGATTATCTCTGTAGTTGGGGCCCGTGTCTTCACCGTCTCCCCATATCCGTATGGACAAATGCCAGTACAGGTTGGTTGCACAACGCTCGGCACTGTCTGGACTGGGCGTGGCTGGCGTCCGTCGGCCGTGCCCACCGCCTTTTGCTCTCTGGGTCCTCCCTCTCCCGTGTTGATGGGAGGTAATTGGACAGCTTGCCGTAGACAATACGACTTCGGCGTTGCCAGCCGTTAATCACCTTCTCAAGCCGAGGACTCTCCCGCCTGATCGGCCCGGCCGCATATCCTGTCAGGCGGAACGCAACCCCCTGAATGTCACGACGGTCCCGGTCTTGAGCTCAAAGTACACACTATGGACGAGCCCGTATACTGCTCCTCATTATGCCTAATCGTGTAGCACGGCATGGGATCGAGGAACGACGCAGGTAAGCCACAGTCGAGTCTTGTATCGTCGATGAAGGTATGCATCATTAATATCGAATCCAGAGGAAGGTTGTTCACGCCATTTGATCATGCAACAGATCTCTCCATTGAAGTGGCCACAAATACCTTGATTACGATGTCTCCAAGCTGGTGGCCGGCCAAGAATGCATCATCACGGGCGAGGAAGTCGGATGGGGGCAGTGCTCGGCGCACCCATAGATGTATTCGCTCCGCCCGGTATTGTGACAAATTGACAAGATGTCATTGTGAGAATTGAGAAATTCGAGAAGATACCCACGAGCCCAGGACCTAATGCATTGTAGATGATGGAGGGGCCGGTGGTTGTCCACCGTTTGCAATAGAAGACTTGAGGCGCGAGCATACGATTAGGCTCGGTTACCGACAATGCGCGAACACAGAGCCCATACATGAGAACCTCAGAAAGCCGATGGCATCGGTCCTTGATGTTGGCAGAAGTCTGAGAGCCATTCGCCATGGCTGTTGCCTTTCCCTCGCCGACAAGCACGCAATGGGGCACGTCTTGGTCGTGCCTGATTTGAGAGATTCTCTGACTCTCGTGGTCAGATTGCTAGCCGGGGAGACAGCATCCCACTGGCCTGACGCACTTCTGGTAGCAAAGGGTTCTATGAGTTGAAGCTAGTCCTTTCATGCACGCTCTATCGCGTATGAAACGCCATCTCTGGCCCGTTTGCGCCGTAGGCAATGGGAATGCATCCGCTGACCCGAGAAAGATTGATGTTTCGTTGCCAATTGTTTCCTCAGGTCAGGTGCGGGCTGAGCTGGACAGCTTTCTTCGTTAGAGCAGCTATCCACCTGCGGAAAGGGTGCTCTGTGACGTATCTGCATGCCGGTGTCGTGCAGGGTAGACAAGACGACGCTGAAAGTCAACGGGATGACATCCGGTGCAGAATGAAGTCGACATCATCACAGTATTTGAAAGACCGGAGTGGCTTGGCCCGCCGGCTGCATCCTTTTCTGCGTATGCAATGTTGCGTTGTCAAGGCTCTAGATGACAATGTACGAACCGGATTGCTCCCCGTTGCATCGGGATGCGAGTCATTTCTTTTCCCAGCGCAATGCTGCATGGTTCCATCGCGGGCCGGCGCCTGGAAACGAGGCGGGATGCGGGTTGTGCGTTTAACTTCTTCTCCGGTCAAAATTCTGGCCGATGACACGCCGTAGATTCTTGGGCGTATCCTACGTCGTCTGCAAAAGCAATATGTGCTGCAGGCAACGAAGATGACGAATAGACGCGAGTTTCAACGCTGCGCGGTGCTGATAGACGAGACGAACGAGCGCTTCTTTGCCGTGCGAGACACTGTCTCCGAGGTCCCTCCAAATGGGTCGTCCCGTAAGGACACGACAAGGAGCACAGGTTTTGCGAGCGAGATCTGATAGTCCCAATCGCCATCTTGATGCAGATGTAGGAATTGCGCGACATAGCTAGAGTTTGACGTGTATCCAGAGTGCTCGCGTCCAGAGGTTCTCGAACCTCCGCAAGGCGATCAAGGAACTATGTCGCATCTGGAGTTGTGATGAACGTCCATTTCTTCGCAGAATATGCCTCAAAGATTCCTAGGCAGCAACGAGCTTTTCCTTCAAAGGCGTAGCTGCGAAAGACCGTAAGAAGGCTCGCGAATCAGCGACATCGCATCGAGTTACGGCATGCTTCCGTCATTGCGGTGACGCAAAGCCGATGGTTGATTTTGGATTCGGAGTATTGGTCTAATCCCTCGGAATTTTGAAACCGCTGAACAGACACATCATTATCCAGCTTCTCCACGCCGCCGCGAGATAGTAGAAACTGTCAGCCCTCCAGCTTTCGGTAACACTGCATAATGCACAGCCAAGTGCTTTTCGAGAAATGCAAGCCCTAGAAAGGTAAGTAGCTGCTTCGTGTTCGACGTCGGGGGTACGGACAACAGCATCCAGTGTCGGACAAGCGGGGTGTCAACGTGAAGAGCGTGTCGGGCCGTTAGGAGAAACCCCTGGTGAAGAGTGTTGCTGTAGTGCTTCCAGACATCTTGCACTATATGAAGACGACCCTTTAGTATCGGCCAAATCGGATTAATTTGGGTAAGAGCCGCATCTGAGACCGCATCATGGAGCGGTCGATGTCGGTTTCATGCCGGTGATTTCACGCGCGGCCCGTCCGGTTCGGTTCCGGACCCCTTTGATCCTTGGATCTGCGATGTCTAAGTGACCGACCTCCAGGTTCGGGAAGTCGCGTCTCTGGGGTATCTGGGGGAGGACAAGGAAGAAGCTTGGTGCACAATGAGCAGACTGATACTGTGGCTCTCGGTCTTTGTATTCGCCGTCACGCATGTCGGCCGAGAAAAGGCTGAACAGATGGAGTATGTTACGCTCGTATTGAGAAAACAGTGGTTCGATTTTGGGTGTCTGCAATTCGAGTCGATCAGAACTTTCGCTTCTTCCGTGCTGGTCCTGCGGCGGCCTTCCGCTGTAGCTCCTGCTGCAGCTCGTCTCGCTTCCTATTTGCTCTCTCCTGCGAGGTTTCTCGAGTCCTCGCCTGCGGCTTAGATTCGGTCCGATCACGACCTCTATCTTCTGCCTCGGTAGCAGAAGTCTCAGGGTCCTTTGACGCAGGAGCTCTGCCGCCGATGCGACCAAGCCCAGGCTTTTTCAGTGGCTCGGGGGACTTTGAGCGATTCGCGGACCCGCCGATGCGACCGAGTACCCCTTTCTTTGGTGAATCGGTATCCTTGGAAGGTTCGGGGGTATTTGAACGTCGTTTTACACCGCCGATCCGTCCGAGTCCAACCTTGGTAGGTTTCGTGTCCTCTGGCTCGGGTTGACGAGGAGAAGAGGGTTCTGCCACTGATGCGGTAGCATCGTCATCAGACCCTGTTTCGGTTTCCGAGCCATCTGGCTTGGGATCTTCAGGGGCGGGCGGTGGTGAAGGGGTGGGTTGTTGCTTCCTCCCAATCGTTCCTAGGCGAACAGGGTGTCTCTTTGGTTCTTGTGGAGGCACGGGTACACTGTCTGGTATCTGCGAGGTATCCTCATCTTCAGTGCTGTCATCATCGTTTGCCACGTTTGTTGCACGAACGGACCGGTTGCGGTTGGACATGAGATGTGGCGGTGTTGACTGAACCTGGAAGTCATCATCATCAACTGGGTCTCTTCCAGTCTCTTTGTCGTCACGTCGAGACTCGTCGGGTTCGGGAGAGTTCCTCTGCTGGCTGGAGTTCGGCCCTACAATTGGGAAAGTCGACGACTCGTTCTTGGTCCACCAGTCATCCAATGATGGGTCCAATGAGGCATCTTGATGTTGGTACTCGAGACCATTTGAACCGAAGACGTGCCGGATCAGGTTGACGATGTCAGCGTCGTCACCGTCAAGCTGAGCCTTCCAGTCATCGTGGCTGAATGGTGCCAGTCCTTTGACCTTTTCCTCGGCCATCTTCCTCGTCGGCTTCTGCTTGGCCGACAGAACGGTGAAGACGTTCTCTAGGCGGGTTCCAGTAGCCTCGAGCTTGTCGAGAAGTTTCATTATGACAGTGTCCTTTTGCTTCATGATTGCGAGGAGCGAGTCAACCTGACGCGTCTTGGCGGAGTTGGCCTGGGTCAATGGTATGGTCAACTCGGTTGCAAGCGTCGACTGGGGACACTTTTGCAGGTACATGGGCCACACCAAAGGCTTCATGTTGTCCAACTCGCAGGAAATGTGCATGGTCAAGCCGCCTTCCCTAGCTTCTTCCTGGGGGGCCGTTGACAAGCTCAGAGTCGCCTTCTCATGGTCTGGATGGGTGGGGTCAAAGACGGATCTGATTTTGGACAAGAACGCTCGCATATTCCTGGTGCTCTCCGTGGGATCGATTGTGGTCGAATTGGCGAGGCTGCGCATCAAGATGCCTCTGCGGTCCAGTGATTCGACCCAAATATTGGCCAAGTCGGTTACATGGACGGTGTATTCCGCGGTGGAGAAGGCCGTTGAGACTAGGAGGTTGGGCAGGCCAGCTGCGGGAGGCAGTGGTCTCCATACCGGTGGTGTTGCCATGGTGCCGCCGCCGGTCTGACGGGCCGAAGGAGGGGCTGTGTATGGGTGGTACGCTGTGAATAGACCGAGCGAAGCTTCTGAGGGAATGTCTTTGGAGCAACGTTGGGTTTCCTGAAGAGGGTCGCTGCAGACGAAAGCAGTCAAGAGGGATGAAAACGATCTGTTGCAGCGAGTTGAAGCGTGAACGAGGCTGACGGTACGACTCTGCGGTGTAGTGTGTGACGAATAGGTGCTATTCTGGGCCGTTTCAAAGATTGTAGCTCAAGGAAAGGTGTGGGATGCTGTGTTCAATGACCAGACGGGCTGGGCGATAGAGGTGAGGTGAGATTGGGAAAATGTGGCCAGTAGACCATGTGGCACTCTTTCCCGCCTCGTGGAATCGCGTTGGGGACGGTGATGACACGCGGGCGACTGTTATGGCAGGAGTTTTCCTAGTGCAAGGTGACTAAAGGTTGGCAAGTGCCTAAAGTGCGAGTCGGGGAGGTATCACGAAGCGCTTGGCGCGATGTTGTTGCATGTCGAGTTACCGCTTCAGGCAGCCACGTACAGTAGGAGGCAAGAGGGCACTGTGCCAGGCGGAAAAGAAAAGATGGCATCTGGGTGTGGGGAGACATCATTGGCACTGTGAGAAGTCGCGACTGATGGCTGCAATTGGTGAAATCATGGCTCTAAGGTAGATCAGTGGGGCTGGCGCGCAGCTCTCACACTCTTATTCGTACTGTGCCGACCGCACCTGCGGTGCTCAATGGATGTCTGTAGAGCGTCTCAAGTGCATTACACACGCGCAGTGCAGAGAATCTTGCACCACGCCTCGTGCAGTACGGAGATATTCCGTGCTGCAATCTACCTATGCCACTGCCTCACGTTCAATTAAGCTGTGAGCCATGATCTGACGTGTCTCACAAACCACCTCGGTGAACTGTGAGGGGCGGTGCGGGATGGTCGGTCACCTGACATACCTGGCGCTGATAGTTGAAGTTGAGATAGAGTTCTGAACACATGCCAGGTTGCCCATTCTTGTCAGAAACAATTGAGTTTCGCACTCAGCCGGTGCTCATTCAGCCTCCGTCTGCCTCAGCTGATAGTTCTTCAGCAACTTCACGTGAATACTGCTTGACTGCATCGTAAAGCTTGTAATGCGTTACTGCTCAGTGACGGCCGTCAAGGCCCTCAGAGGCGCGTGGCCCAAGCTCCTCGTCTTGGGGGCGGCTAAGTAGGTACGTACCGCCTAGATCCCTAGGTATCCAAGCAAGAGCTCTTGGGTAGGGCAGATTTGAAAGAAGGAGCAGGAGCCCTCCAGCTCAGCACTTCCAAGTGTTGGCAAAGTCTAAGCCGCCGAAGCCATCAATTATCGCAATAACTGGTATCGATATTGCACGCCGTCGTCCACTCGCCACCTCGAGAGCCACAGCCAACATCGAAAACTGAGACAAACCGTTGCAAAACTACCACCTGGCCGACGGGCTAGGCCCTGCCAGTCACCCGCCCAAGCCCCTAGAAACCCGCTGCTTCAAGCCTTATGCTGGCTCCCATTGGCTGGAAGCTGCACCGCCATACCTCTGAATGCGTTGATGCGCCACTTTTCCACCCTTCTCGCACTTCCACCTGCACTTCCAGCACAGGTTTCCATGCTTCGCATGAGAGGCCCTCGGCCTGCCAAGATCTCTCTTGGGCCTATTAACTTCATTTGGCATCTTGCAATACCACCCCACCCCCGCCAAACAAGCTTGTTTCTCGATTCTCGCCAACGACGTCCGGCTCCCTGACTGGCTGGCCGCTGGAGATGACTGTCACCATGCTTGCCAGGCACAGACAGCAGGGTGTCCCCCATGGCCCATGACGTCCATAATGAGGAGATTTCGACTTACTCCTTCCTGCTCGGTTCGACAAACCGGTGGCGATATGCCATGGCCCTTGGCGACTACCCATTGGACATGTTCAGAAACCCCAGCATGCCACGCAGCATCCTCGCCTCTCCCTTCCTTGGTCGTCAAGGTTAACCTAGTGCCCAGCGCAGCAGCGGCAAGCAGTCGGGGAACAGCCACAGCGAAATGGTGGCGCCGCCCACGTTCGATGGGATGATCAACATGAGAAGTTACGGTGACGGAACCCGTGGCCCGCCGCTGCTACCCCAAACATCGGCGCCTGCTGGCCATGCCCAGCGGGCCTGTCAATCCAGGGACATGAATCTTTCTTGACGACGATTCGCTGTTGGGAAAACTGGTTTGGCGGGATGCCTGGGGCGACAGCCACATCTTGGATGTATAAACACGACCTATGCTGGAAATCCCACTCTCTCCTTCTGTCGATCCCATCTGGCCGTCTCTGTCTCTTTTCTTCGCATTGCCAGTCTTCGCATCTCGAAACCGGGCAACATCATGGGAAATAGACCCAGTAGCCCGTTGGCAACCTGCCTCGACAAGGTCTGCGACGGCCGATCCTCCTGTGTTGGATACCCAAACGACCCTCTCTATCAGATCAACTGGGTGAAGCCGTACAACCTTGACATCCCCGTCAAGCCCATCGCCGTCACCAAGCCTTCCACCGAGGAAGATGTCGCAGGTTTCGTCAAGTGTGCCGCAGACAACAATGTGAAGGTACAGCCAAAGTCAGGCGGGCATTCATACGCGTGAGTTGGCATACCCGTCGCTGTCTTGCTTCTCTCTGACACGTTCGTCGCAGCAACTTTGGCCTGGGTGGCACTGACGGCGCCCTCGTCATCGACCTTGCCAACATGCAACACTTTTCCATGGACACAGATACCTGGCAAGCGACCATCGGCGGAGGCCACAAGCTGCACGACGTCACTGAGAAGCTGCACGACAACGGCAAGCGTGCAATGTCCCACGGCACATGTCCTGGCGTGGGCATCGGCGGCCATGCAACAATCGTAAGAGACCCCCGCAGATGTCTGTCTGGCTGCATCAGGTGGCCATCAGTCTCACCTTTGCATCTGCGCTGTGCTAATGCAGTATGCAACAACAGGGCGGTCTTGGTCCCAGTTCACGAATGTGGGGAAGCTGCCTCGACCACGTTCTCGAGGTTGAAGTCGTCACCGCAGACGGCAAGATCCAGCGCGCAAGCGAGACCCAGAACTCGGATCTGTTCTTCGCTCTCAAGGGCGCCGGCGCCGGCTTCGGCGTCATCACCGAGTTCGTCGTCAAGACCCACCCCGAGCCCGGCGATGTCGTACAATACTCCTATGCCATCACCTTCACCCGCCACCGCGACCTCGCCCCGATTTTCAAGCAATGGCAGGACCTCATCACCGACCCAGAGTTGGATCGCCGCTTCAGTAGCGAGTTTGTCATGCAGGAACTCGGAGTCATCATTTCGGCAACCTTTTACGGCACCGAGGACGAATTCAAGAAGACGGGCATCCCCGACCGCATTCCAGCTGGGAAGGTCTCTGTTGTGGTGAATGACTGGCTTGGGGACGTTGCGCAAAAGGCCCAGGACGCAGCTCTTTGGCTTAGCGAAGTTCAGTCACCATTTACGGCCAAGAGCTTGGCCTTTACCCGCGACGACCTTCTTCCCGAGGCGGGCATCCAGGACCTCATGAACTACATTGACGGCGCCGACCGCGGCACCCTGATCTGGTTCCTCATCTTCGACGTCACGGGCGGCGCCATCAACGATATTGCTATGAATGCGACTGCCTACCGCCATCGCGACAAGATCATGTTTTGCCAAGGCTACGGCGTTGGCCTGCCGACACTCAGCCAAAAGACCAAAAACTTCATGTCAGGCATCGCGTCGACGATCCGAAAGGCAAGCCCGAATGACCTGAGCACGTATGCAGGCTACGTCGACCCGACGCTGGAGGACGCGCAAGAGAAGTACTGGGGTTCCAATCTGCCTGCTCTCCAACGCATCAAGGCCGCATGGGACCCCAAGGACCTCTTTTCGAATCCCCAGAGCGTGAGGCCCGACGCCAACGCGAAGGACGTCGCGCCTGCGAACAATTCTGAACCCTCATCACCCTAGGAAGAAAGCGGGAGTTTTCGGCGCAAAGTTGATTTTTCGGGGCTTGCATTTTCGGTTTTCCTTACCTGGGTCATTGGCATTTCGGTGGTCTTTACGTGATACGCATTCAAGCCGTCCCAGTCGATCTGCGACGGCTTCTTTCTCTTCTCGGATACCCGTATCTTCCTCAATTCAGGCAACATTATATCCTTCCAAATAAAGATTCGTGTTTTCGTACGCGTATGATTGCGTTCAAGCGCAGGCATCAATGTGTTTTTGTCCATGGGTCCGTCGGCCAACACTGCAACTCCCAGGCACCCGTGGCCACAATCCTGGTCGTCGTCCAGCGGCGCAGGGCTGAGACATCTCAAACCAACAAACACCAACCTCATATCAACGCACTCTCACCGCATCCCAAAACCGCCCCCCAAACTCACCATCTTCAATCGAAACACCTATGAACCACTGCATCCGTCCAAGATGCCAACCATAGTAAACGGCTACCTCGCCCCCAACCGGCGCTACACCGCCCGCGAGCGCCTCATCCGCGCCCTCCACCCCCTTCTCCACCCCTCCATCCTCACCCTCCGCGACGTCGTCTGGGCCGCCTACATCATCTACATATCGCGCGTCACATACTTCACCCTGCGCAGCATCGCGTACATTCTTTTCGAGGCCGAGGGACGGTGGCGGTCGACGGAGCCGCGGCCGGAGTGGGGACCGCCGCCGGCAGGGTGGACGATGGGGTGGGGGCTGATGGGGAGGTTGTTGAGAGGATTGGTGTGGAGGAGGGTGATGGTTTGGGGGGAGGAGGTGTTTGCGTGGGGGTGCGTTGTGGTTGTGAGTGTGTTTTGTGTCGAGGATGGGGGGAGGTGGTGGAGGGAGAGAGGAAGACGGGTTTGAAGGTTCGGATGGGCGGCTTGGGATGGGAGTTTGGAGAGGTGTTTTGGCTTCGCCTTAGATGAATATCCCGCCTGTTTGGTTTCAAGAATCACGTTGGTGGGTTCTTCGTGATTGCGAATATTCTTCGGGCTTTTCCTGGATTTGTGATTTACGCCATCTGCCCGACGGATCTAGTAGCTCATCAACACCGAACTATTTCGCCCTCCGCAGCCAACAAATCAAACTCATTCGGAAATTCAACAGGAGGCTTTCATAATCCTATTTAATCCCGCAGCAAGATGCCGGAAACCACCTAACTCGAGATGAGCCCGCGGCCGAAGCAGACCGGCCGCATTCATCCCGCACCTCCCACTACCTCGCCCACAAACCTATTGACATTCGCCTTTATGATTTTCTCATCCTCGCGTTCCTGGTGTTTATGACGTGGTGTCAAATCTTAGCCGCCGTCCATTTCTAGGGAGTCGGCAAAGCAAACGCGGTAGGGTGGGGTCCCGCCATGACGAGGACGAGGGCGAGGGCGAGGGCGACGGATGGATGCCCGGGACGTGGCGGACGTTTTGTTTGGAGCTTTTGGATTAAGTGACCGGGGAGAAGGTGCCTGTATTGGTAGTCGGGGCTGTTCTTAGTTGGGGAATTGACAGGGGGTTGAAGAGGTGTTAAGATGGCAGAAGGGGGTGAAATGATAAGAGGAGGTCGAGGAAGCGAAAGAGACACTGAGATGGGAGTGGTATATACCAATGACTACTTACATGAAAAAGAGCATGGAGCATAAGTTTCGTTGAAATGCTGAGGTCAGCCCTAAGATCACTCATCGTGTGCGAGGGATGTTGAAATTGTGAGCTAGTTGAGATATCGTTGCGTTCATGGACTGATGAATGAAACGCACGAGTGAGGATGATCACAAGCTGTTGAACATGTTGTCTGAATGAAGATGAGGCTTGGCCTATGATGATGTCCGTAACGGACCTCCGAGTCCGAATATAAGCTGGCCAGAAGAGGCTTTGTGGTATGAGTTGACTGTTGCCCATCTGCCGAGCGAGAAAATGACTACCAAAGTATCGAGACAATAGCTACTTAAACGACCGTTCTTTTGAGGTGAGGTCAATTCAACGATCATTCCAGCTTTACCGCCGTGCACAAGCTAAATCGAGTTCTCTTATTCTACATCGACGGGGAATGTCTAAGGGTAAACCAAGAAGACGGGCAGGGCATCCCTCATAAACATATTTTCATTATTCGTCGTTCTCATTGACGTTTGATGCGGTGGAATAATATCGAGCGGGTCTATTACGATGTTGATACCGTAAAATCGGACCGGGACGCTTCGTGCGCGGCCTTGGTACCCGGCTCTCACTATCAAATGCTTAATCACAAACCCGGAATTACAATGTGGTCGAATTCGGGGTTGACAAATGGCCCCGGGGAAAATGTAAAGGGGGCCATAGATCGAGACTCGATTTCGAAGGATCATGAAACCGCATGCCATGATGCCTGGACTCTCTTTCGAGGCATCAAGACTGCACAGCAGTTTATTTCCCTCCCGAGATAATGAGCTGGACTTGTCGATTGGTGCAGTCGGGTGCGATGACCAAGCTGAGCAAGTGCATCTGCATGTCATCTAGCCTACGATCTCTCCTGTCGCGCCCGAGCCGTGTTTTAAGGTAACCAATGAATAGTGTTTACATTGTTTGCACTGCAACTTTCTCACCTCCGGAGGAGATGAGCTTGTCATGTGGAGCTGTCAGTCGGCGCAGGTCCGTCGCAGGCCCGCTCCAGTCGGGGGTCAATTTGCCGGAGTAGCGTAGCTTCACTGCAATCTTTTCCCCGCCCAAGGGAGTGTGCCGAAAGTGTGCTAAAATGGAGCTGTCGTTACGTTCGGTGCAGTCAATAAGCCCCAACCTAATCGCTGTTACAAAGGCTCTGACACATTGGCCCGTGCAGTGCGCAGGTTCTCACTGATGGCTGAAGTGCAGGCGTCATATGAACAGTTCGTTCTAACGTGATGACCGTACAGCTGAAAAGTTGAGAGCATAAGTGTGTAGAGATGTGATAAGGGCACAGCGCCTAACAGCTGAAAGCCAGTACGTGCCTACAAAAGTGTGCACCTACAGTGTTGTGTGTCCTATGTGGCATAAGCCTGAGACATAGCTGCAAGTAGAAGCCTACGTGTACCCTGTGAGATTCTGATAAAAGATAGGCGTTCGGGCAAATCTGCATGCTTGGGGTGTGATGAGGTTGGTTCTACGATGACGGTTCAGGATGGAGTCTGAGGGAAGGCGGCGGAACGCTGGGGTCTGAGTGGCTCGTCAGTCCGTTGCCATTTACAGCTGCGTCTGTCCTATATCTTGATTGGGACGAGTTGCGGTTGCGTTCAAAGAAATTTATTCCCTTCTCCAGGATATCGTTGATGAGCCTCAGGTGTGTAATAACTGCGGTCGGTGTTTTACAGGCGATACCTACCAAGTGCAATCCATTTGGTAGGTAATTACTAGGTAAGATGCACTGGGAAGGAAGGCCTTAGTGGTTGCCTCATGGCTCGGGTCATAAGGAGCCTTTGCCATTGGATTGAGTCATGCCAAGGGCCCCACCCATCCATCCACCATGTTATCGTGCGAACCTTCACTGCAATCTATTCCCCTCCCAAGGGGATGAGTTTGAATGGGGAGCGCTCAGTCGGTGCAGCCTCCCGCTGAAAACTTCTGCGCAAAATCTGCCTTGTCTCGCAGTCTGTCTACCTAGTAATCATTCTTCCACTTTGATACTCTCCGTCAATTTCTTTGTTTTCCGAATCTCTTGCTCGCTGTCATAATGCTCATAATTCCTCTCTCAAGGGGACGGGCTTTCAAGACGCGAACCTATCGGCCGTCAGTCACCGGTATGGTATCGTTTCCACCTCCGATCGCTAACGGAAGTGCCAGACCCGCAGACTGTTCTTCAGCTACCTGATCAGCCAAAACGCATGCATCGCCAAGACTTCATTTATAACACTCACAATTTCATCAAATGTACAGACGACTGTGATGCAATCATAGTCTACCTACGCCAGACAACGCTCATACGGCGCCTCATCTTAGCAAGTAGACCTGAGTCTGGAAAACGTACTAACTAGTAGAGCAGCACCCAAAAAGGCGTTGCGTGCAACAAGAGTGGCCCAGTTCACTGTGTTGGAGAGCATTCGGAGCTTACGAACAGGGTGCTGGGCCTCCTTGGAAAATCCAACCACGAGCTTTGTCGCAGATTTGGAGAAGCCGCCCTTTTCACTCACCAAATTCGCCCGCCTCAAGGCCATAGTAGCATCATCGAATCTTATAAAATCCACGTGATCCATGCTGCCTGATAAACACCTTTGCAGCAGGCAATGACGCTCAATTTTGGTTGATTTGAAAATGTAGGGGAATGTTGCAGACATTTCCTTGAATGAATGGATTCGATGGGCGCCTCCGACCCGACTTTTGGCCCGGTCCTTCTGCACTGCAATTTTTTCCCCTCCCGAGGGGATGCAATCGGCGCAGTCGGTGTCTTCCGCACTCGCAACAACAAACCTACCAGAAATTGAAGCTGCATAATTAATTGAAGAAATAATTCAGTACCGGCTTGTCGTGAATGTTGGGGAAGGAAAAGGGGAAATCTCCCCGTTCGGTAGCGCAACGAGACACGAGTTACGGCGCGGCCGCTGTATTGGAATCTACGCAAGCGGTCGGAATGAGAAATGGAAATGCAGGCTCACTCTGCCTTGGAGAACTCGAAATGAACGGGACTCTTAAATCCGCAGACGCCCTGTGTGAATGGGCGCACAGTTTCGTCAAGTAGCTGCAAAACTCGGAGTTCAGGTTACCCTGTGAGATTCTGAGGGCTTGGCAGTGCGCCGTAAGATACTGGGAAACAGAAGGTGTTTGGGCGAAACTACATGAGATGCCCAAACGGCCGGGGCTGGGGTCTGATCTGGCGATTGCTTGCCGAAAGGCTTGAAGGTAAGCATGTTGATGAGAGATGCTGACTGTATCGGGGAAGGTCTCGCAACATAAGTTGACTAATGCGCAATATCAATTGTAAGGCAGATCATAGCAATGCCACATTTCACTGCAATCAGTGTCTCTGCTAAGAAGATTGTTCGTTGGGTTGGGGAACGACTGAAAAGCTGGTCATGAGGCTCTGCTTGACTATGTACCTCTACACTGCAATTCATTCCCTCACCGAGGGGGCCTGAGGGTGCAGAGCTCCCGGTCGGTGCAGCCGGTGCTGGCTCCCGCCATAAGGTGAGCTCGACGACCCCAAGCTCCCAAGACTCTCCGGCCTTTAGAAGAAAGTGAGGGATTTCGGTAATCAAGGTCCGTGAGAACTCATCCTCTGGCAATGATTGAAGCATTAGGCTGTTGACAAACTGCAAAACTATGAGCTTGGTTATGCCCCATGAGATGTATGTGTTCAGCCAAAATTGCGTATCCAATTTGATGAGGACTGTAGCGAGTTCATCGCTCATCACGACTGATGGATTAGAGGATGAATGGGGGAAGTCAACACTTGCATGCGGTCGTGATCATTACAGTAGATCAAGAACTTACGATGTCGCTTCATTGCAATCTATTCGTCTCCAGAGGGGATGAGAGCTGACCGTGTGGACCTCTCGGTCGGCGCAGGTGCTGCCACCCGCCGAAAAGTGAGCGCAACCACCTCACAATACCAGCCGAGGCATGTACTATGTACAAGCCACCAGCAATCTTGTCCCTTGCTGAATTGCGACGCGGCTGTGGGGAGCGATGGAATTCGCAGGTTCTCACGGCCCAGAGAGAGTAAAGTGATGAGTCAGAATGGGAGGTCTAGCAGCTTTGTCACTTCACTGCAATTGATTCCCCTCCCGAGGGGATGAGCCTGAGAGTGTGGACCTCTCGGTCGGTGCTGCCGGTGCCTCCCGCCGAAGAACGAGCGCGACGACCCCACCTTCCCGGCTGAGCGGTGCACGTCCCATCAGCAATCTTATCACCACGTGACGCTCGCTTCTGTGAATTTTGGTAGGGTTTGGTGACCCCACGGGCGAAAAAACAATCTCAGTAGAGGGAAAATTTCCAGCTGCAGCACGACTCCAATTCGACCCGACGCCCATCCATCCTTTCACGAGCCACCCGTTGTTGAACTCGACACCCCCCAACCGACACAATGGCCAAACTCTCGTAAGTCGACGCTGCTGCTCTCGAACCACCGACTCTGCATTTTTCGGCGCCGTCGTTTTCCCCCGGGGGAGCGACGTGAGGTACTCGGCGATCCAGGCGGGCGGACGGAACAGCGACACGACATGCAACCACAACGCAGGGAAAGAGGAGGGCATCACCGACTTTGGGTCTCGATTGGCAGAGAAAGCGTGGAGGAGTTTTTTCAAGGGACTCGAATGCGACGGAATCACGAATGCGACATCTAAACTTGGACAAATATCCTGCGATCCGCCCGCCGACCGCCGAGACCGAATGCTGCGAATGTCGATGGAGGACTCAACCGACCTTGAACGCAGGAATGCTGACTGGAGTTCTACAGCCGTGGTGCCCCTGGTGGCAAGCTTAAGATGACCCTCGGTCTCCCCGTGTACGAACTCCCACCTCCCACGCGCCTTGCTCTGTCTTCAAGATTGAGGAGGGGCGCGCGTCCGGAGAACGAAAGACTGACTTGGTGCACAGCGGTGCCGTCATGAACTGCGCGGACAACTCGGGTGCTCGCAACCTGTACATCATCTCCGTCAAGGGTATCGGTGCCCGCCTCAACAGACTGCCTGCCGGTGGTGTCGGTGACATGGTCATGGCCACCGTCAAGAAGGGCAAGCCTGAGCTCCGCAAGAAGGTCCACCCCGCCGTCATCGTCCGCCAGTCCAAGCCCTGGAAGCGCTTCGACGGTGTCTTCCTGTACTTCGAGGACAACGCTGGTGTCGTAAGTGCTCCCGTCTGCTGCTGCGGCAGTGCTGCCGAAAGACACGAACACGGCTAACAACACTACCACAGATCGTCAACCCCAAGGGTGAGATGAAGGGCTCTGCCATCACCGGCCCCGTCGGAAAGGAGGCGGCCGAGCTTTGGCCCGTAAGTCACGTCCCCATGCACCCGTCAAGGACACAACCCCGCTGACATGTGTCTCAACAGCGTATTGCCTCCAACTCCGGTGTCGTTATGTAAAGGAAGTTTTTTCAAGCATAAAAAAGGGCGAAAAGGACGACGTTATGGCTACGGATTAGGTCAACCGGTGCGAACCACCATGGGAAAACAAATGATTTTTACCCACCCCTGCCTTTTTGTTCCCCCTCCCGTCGCGGCGTACACCACACATACCACTCCCGACTATGGGGAAGATTAGGTCAATGAATGAAGAAAGAGGGTTGATGGGCCTGGTTTTTCTATTTTTGTTTCCTCGCTGGGCTCTGCATTTCGGCTGTGGCGTGTACAGGAAAAGAAATTCATACCAGGCATTTCGCATACAGGAGAGATACAAAAATCCGATTCTTTGCGCACGTTACATACGCTGTTCCGATGTCCTCTTCAAGTGAGTCCAGGTAGACAGGCCTGGTTGTTTGATCCCTCGGGGGAGGTTAAGAATGCAGTGCTCATGCGAGACGCATCGCTTCAACCAACTGCAAACGGGCATGTACGCCACCGAACTCTACAATAATGCAAGCTGTGCCGCGTGTCAGCAGCTGATTGATCAATGCATTCTCTGAAGTCTTCGAGGGTTCCAGGTGCTGCCTCGAGCCTCGCCGTAAGTCAGCAGCCGTAAGTCAGCAGAACAGCAGGCTGCATGCTGCCTAGTCCTAGTAAGAAACACATGCTCCGATCCTCGTCGTAAACACCTTATTTGCTTGTGAGGCTTTGAGGGGTTTGAAATTGCAGTGAAGCTCCTGGGAGACCAAAATGCTGCGCGCCAAGTTCCCCGGCCCCCGTTCGGCGTCTTCCGAGAAGCCGGTACGCCCACGGCTTTGGCCAAGAGCCATCCAATGAGATACATCTACTCTTGGTTCACAGGAGCATCTCATAAGATAGCAGATGGAGTTTGATTGGATTCATCTACCTTACAGAGCCGGGTCTCTGCAGCTTGACCATCAAATTTGTCGACATTATCTCTTGTGGCCTAGCTCTCACGGACCTCTTGCTTAAATAGGATACTTCTCAACATCGTGTGCTATGAAACAAGCGCAGTTTCTTTGTCTGTAGTGGTAGCAAAGATGTTCAGTCTTACACTTGCCCCAAACCGAAGTAGGTCGACGGCGGCTGAAGCGCGAGCTTGTCTTCTCAACAGGTGATGCCAATATACATGGGTGTCCCCAAGATTCGAATACTTACATGATATTCAAGCCGGATGATGGACACTACAATCAGATCCGTTGCGTAACCTCTATCGTGTTGGTTGCTGTATTAACCCAGTGGTGTATGTTTCACAATGAATGGATAATGGATTGACTTCGCAACCACAAAGTGCAAGACAATCTTGGTGAGAGAAGCTTCTCGACCACCGACTATTCGAAATCTATATACCTCTTCGATCTAATGCCATCATCGTGCATGCGCTTGCGAGCTCCCAAAGACAGCTGAAAAGAAAGGGTAAGCTCGACTGCAATTTCTCAATGATGTTGATCAGAAATGAAGCGGCGCATTCTCCACGTTCCCACCCAGCTCGACATGTCAGAGACATCCAAGGGTCCAGTCTCCCAAGTACGAGGGGCCGTGGTAAACAAGCCAATCATTCATCTGTGCTTGTTGCGGTCAACCACCTGAATACCTAATAGACGGCGATGTGGAGAAACATCAAGACTTGGGCCAGGTGAGCACGACACCCGTTAGTACGAAGCAGCGCATATGCCATAGATGCTGAGACCTAAATATATCATGCCAATCACTCCTCGAATGCCATTTGTCTTAGGGGGCGGAGACACATTGAATACATGTGGAAATATAAACATTTCTTCACGGGACGTTGATTCTGGAGTCCCTTCCAACTGAGGCTTATGCGTCTGCTACTCCTCTAGACCTTTAATAAAACTGAACCACTTTTATTAGACTTGAAAGAGTGTCGTTGATGGACGAGGTTGCATCAGCAGAGCAGTCTCATGCCTAGCACTAGTCTGGAATGAGTACATATACATCATAGGGCGTCTTGAAGGGCTCGACTGATTTCCTCAAGCAATGCCGCTAAAGTCTCACCCCTACCGAACACTAAAATCATCCGGAGGAAACATGATGTTTAAGTTACTAACTCCTAGGGTCGGTTTTGAGGCACATATCAAATACAAGACGAGCAAGTTACCGTTAGACGGGCTGTATACCTAAACGACGAGAAGACCGAGAACCGGCGCCGAATAGAGCGCATCATTTGGTGATCACGCTGGCGGTCAGATGTGCTTACCATGGCGGGGTAGTGTATCTCTTGTATAACTGTTCATGTCAAAAGTCGCACAGAGCACTAGATTGGGTTGCATGCTGCGTTGCTCTTCCAAGTGAACATTAACATATACCGCAACTTATGGCGTGAGGCTGATTATCATCTCAGCGAGCTCTAGCAACTCAGCATGGCTTAAGCCTAGACTGGGTTCCGACTCTGTTGTGTATGCTTACACCTTGCCTAGTGTCTTCGCCCCGGCTGAGGGCTCATGGTTGCGTTACTGTGAGAGTATAAAGCGGTTCTACGTCAGCGGTTTCAAGACTTCCACAACGGAACAATGTATTGATCTGAGCTGAGCCCTTTTCAGAAAGATAGCCACCACTGTTCCTTCCCCGACTTCAGTTACCGACGGAGAGTGACCCCAAAGCAGGGTCACCTCTGACCAAAGTCAGGCCCCACCCCTCACCGCCGTCTCTGGCGGTCTATTCGTATTGCCAAAGCCTCAGATGAGAACCTGCGAGGTTCAAATATCTCTCGGAAAGAACGTAGTCTGATACGTAGGATATCCTGAGACTTAATAGAGGGCTCTGGAAAGAGGGCCGTCAACGGGAATGCGCTCCCCGGTGTGGGCGTCTTTGAATGGTTCTCTCAAAGCAAAGAATATCAACAGCTGCCGAGTATATATAATAAGCAGCACGAAGCCTCACGTTAACACGAAAGTCAATGGGACCGACCAGGAATCAGACAAACTTGCCATGACCACATGGCGCATACTTCGTGGTGAACTGGAGCTACCTGCACCAACCTGCCCCAATGACGCAACTCACATGCTGTTCATTCTTCATCTTTCTTCATTTCCCTATGTATTCTCTTATCTATTCGTTGTCCGTCCTCATTCCTAATACGTATTACTTCTACGGATTGAGCTTGGTCACCTCCCTTACTGTGACGCGGCATACTTCATCACGGTGCGCGTCTTGCGTGTAGTGCACAAGTCGCATTACGCTTTCGCTAGATAAAGCTCAAATTGGTCGTGGCGCCCGGAGATAGGTTACCAGCTCATTGATACTTCTTTTATAGGGAAGCATGCCTGTGGCCACGGCCCGGGCTGCGAAAACGGGTCGTTGACCCAGACTGGGCCTCTACCGTCGACGCTTGCCATGATACCTCATGGTGCGAGTATCAACAGCGCATTTCGTTAGCTTTCACTGATGTCCGATTCACCGTGGTTTCATGTTGGCTTCCTATCCACCAATAATCGTCGTCGGTGATCGATGACCAGCAACGAGGAGCCAGGAGAGCTGGATCTCGTGACGGCTATATAATGGCAAACCACTGGTCACTCTCAGAGACTTAAGCAAGAATTGCAACTCCGAATGACCTGAAGGAATGGAATGTATTTATTCCAGAGGTTGTTTCAAGTAGAATGTAGGAGGCGGGTTGCGTCGTAGGCACTTGTTCACCAAGAATCACATCATCTCAGCGCGTCGAGTGGCGGGGCTCTCCAAGGTGGATGCATGAAGTCGTCCGCCGCCGTCCCCTGCTGTTGTTTATTCACAAACGATACTCCTCAGTCGTGTTTGAAAACTACTAGAATGACTCTTATGGGAGAGCGTGCTTCATAGGGTTACTCAATGTTATTCTGGGGCACTACGGACATAGCATATCTTCGGAGAACGCGGTGTTTCAAGCCTATTATTGCTGAGTTGACACTAATCCTGCCGAGATATGGCTTTATGAGCAAGTTACGCTCGTCGAGATGTCCCCAGACCCATAACTCATGTGCTCTTCCCGCCTGACCTGTGGTGTTGCAGGACACGAACGACGACAACCATCCGGGTTTCCGCGTGGATCTTGCCAGAGCTTCTATATAAGCTTTCAACATCCGACACAATGCAAAATCTCAAAGAAGACAATGTACCTCGTCGATTATGACTAGGCGAGTGACGATTGCATTTATGCCGTCTCATTGCGATGCGAGAGGTCTAGGGAGGTGGTTCTTCACCCCCCTACCTCGCCACCGTCTGCCCAGCGACAGCACCGGTCCGCGCCAGTACCATCCTAAAGTCATTCCTCAGCGAATAGCCAGAAAATAAACCAATTCCAACGCGTATGCGCTGAGAAACCATCGTCGACATGGCGGGGTGCATGCTCAGACGCCGGTACACCTTCACAGATCTGAACAGACCACACATTACAATCCATCAAGTCATTGTCGCTGTATCAGCCTTCATGAGTATGAGGACGTATTCTTATACAAGTATTATTCATCCACGGGAGGAAGTTTCCCAGCAAAACCTTGGGTGAGAGGGGTACAAAACGAGCCCTGCGGCTGGGAAATTGTTTTCCGCGGCAACAGCGAATGTGGCCAGTTGTACGGCCGCATCCAAGTATTTGGATGCTGCAGTAATTCGGTGTTATGATTGGTTCGATCAAGGGCAAGGTTATGTTTGTTCACTGCCAGACTACAGGCGGAGAACGGTTGCAAAGTTCCTGCTCTCAGCTTAGCGGTCTTTTGGGTATTCGCCCCCAATGCTCTGGGGACGACTCATGATTGCGGTTGAAACAGCTACAGATGTCTCCCCAACCATAAAGCAGGGAGTCGATTATCCTTCGCAAAGAATGATACACTCTGCTGGAAGATCTCGTCTTGATCACGAGCACTGATGGACCCAGAAGTATCTGTGGGTAGGAAGTGCAAGCATCTGACCAATCATGAGATCTTATATACACCCTCCCACACATCACCGAGCTCATCTCCTTGAATCTCAAGACCTTATAGTAACTTACAACCAAGAGTCATCCC